TCTACACTTTCACTCGAAGAGGTTGTTAATAAATTCTGGCATCTCGAACAGATTCCTCAAATAAACGCCCACTCCCTTGAAGATCTGGCTGCAGAAAAAATCTTCGTTGAAACTTACTCTCGAGATAATACTGGTCGATACATTCTTCATCTCCCGTTTAAATTCTCTTCTCTACCGGTATTCGATCATTCAAGAGACATTGCCTTACGTAGGTTTTATTCACTTGAACGACGACTCTTGCATAATCCAGAACTCCGCAAAGAATATAACCTATTCATGCAAGATTATTTGTATTCCGGTCATATGGAACTTGTTAAACCTTTACCACATACTAATCATCAATACTATATACCTCACCATTGTATACTTAGACCTGAAAGTGTAACTACTAAACTTCGCGTTGTCTTCTCTCTACTCCTCCAATTTCGCACTCACTCTGTCGTTATTACGGCCGATATAAAACAGATGTTTAGGCAGATACTGATGTCGGAACCTCACAGAGATTATCAGCGGATTGTCTTCAGATTCTCCAAAGACGATCCTATTCAAGATTATAGGCTTAATACTGTCACTTACGGAATCTCTTCCTCCCCCTTTCATGCCATTAGAACTTTAATCCAATTGGCTCAGGACCACGAAGATCAATTTCCTCGAGCTTCAAAGGTTATAAAAACCAACGTTTATGTTGATGACATATTGTCAGGTGCTGATTCTGTCGAATCAGCTTTGAGCCTTCAAAAGGAATTGATCGATCTCCTTGCCTTAGGGGGTTTTCAACTCCGGAAATGGGGTAGTAATAATCCCCTTCTTATTTCCAATTTAGATAAATCGCTCTTCCAAGTTCCGGTTTCGCTAGACAAAGAAAGTGATCAAACTATTAAAATTTTGGGTCTGCAATGGTGTCCCACCTCAGATGCATTTACTTATAAAATTGATCCCAGACAGCATGCATGTACTAAACGTAACTTACTGTCCGATTTGGCACGAATATTCGATCCTCTCGGGTTCTTAGCTCCCGTTACTGTCTTTATCAAATTACTAATTCAAAAACTATGGTCTTCTGGAATAGAATGGGACGAACTGGCTCCAGAGTCGGTGTCGTCCGCTTGGACCTTATACAAGGAGAATCTGCCACTCTTGCCCTCTTTATATATTCCTCGAAAGGTTACCTTCGATAACGTGAAATTCTGCGAATTACATGGATTCTGTGATAGTTCTGAAAGTGCCTACGCCGCTGTAATTTATGTACGAGCGGTGCTAGGTAACCAAGCAAAAACTTTCTTCTTGTGTGCCAAATCAAGAATAGCCCCACTCAAGAAAATTTCAATTCCTCGTTTAGAGCTATGCTCGGCTGTACTCTTAGCAGATTTGATCGAAATTGTGATGCGGTCGTATCGAAATATGTTACCCATCAGCTCAGTCTTCGCATGGTCTGATTCAACTGTTACGCTTTCGTGGATTCAATCTTCACTCCATAAGTGGGCAACATTTGTTAGCAACAGGGTTACCCATATTCAGGAAAAGGTATCTCCTAGTCAATGGTCTCATGTGTCTACACAAGAAAATCCTGCTGACTGTGCTACCCGCGGCATTGTACCCTGCGAATTACTCCACTTAGAAAAATGGTGGGCGGGGCTGTCATTCCTAACTTCCCATTGTGACCCTTGGTCAAACGAGTCTCTAAAGATCAACGAAGTGACATTAGAAAGACGAAAGACGACTCTTACTATTTCGACTACAGAGAGATGTTGCTGGGATAACCTAATACACCGGTTCTCATCTTTATCAAAATTGAATCGCATTTTCGCTTACATAATGCGCTTCATCTCAAAGACTAAAAATCCAACGCTGTTGCTAAATGAATATTTTTCTCTATCTGAACTCGACCAAGCCCTCTTAATTTTAATCAAGCAAATTCAAAGATTTTATTATAACAAGGAAATAACTGCACTCTCTAAAAAGGACTCGTATAATTTGAAGTCCTTCCCGAAATATTTTCGCAAGCTCACTCCCTTTCTTGACCAAGATGGTATTCTCAGGGTGGGCGGACGTTTACATCACTCTTCTATTCCATATAGTAATAAACACCAGTGTTTACTTCCAAGTGATCATAGGCTGACTCGTCTGATTGTGGAGCATACACATGTTAAGTACTTACACGTTGGGCTACAAACTACGCAATATTTACTTAGCCAAAGATATTGGATCCCGTCCTCTAAAAGAGTGATACGAAAGGTCATCTCTTCTTGCGTTCGTTGTTTTAAAAGTAACCCCTGTTCTTCTCCTCCGGTAATGGGTAACTTACCTGCAGTGCGAGTAAATGAAATAAAATGCTTCACCAAATGTGGGGTTGATTTCGGTGGTCCATTCCAAGTAACGATGGGCAAAATGCGAAGCTCGAAAAGTTATAAGGCTTATATTTGTCTTTTCGTATGCTTGGCCACCAAGGCTCTGCATTTAGAACTCGCTACTGAATTGTCTACCGATGCATTCCTTGCGGCGTTAAGACGGTTTATTTCTCGGCGTGGTCTTGTCACGGACATCTACAGTGATTGTGGCACTAATTTTATTGGAGCCGCCAAACAACTCGCTCAAAAGATGCATAATGCTTCCACACGAGAAGGCATAAGGTGGCACTTTAACCTTCCTTCGGCGCCAACTTTTGGTGGAATTTGGGAGAGTAACATCAAGTCAGTGAAAACCCATATTGTTCGGGTAGTAGGAACCCATATTTTAACCTACGAAGAGTTCATCACAGTTCTGACCGCAATTGAAGCGATTCTAAATTCTAGGCCATTGTGCCCTGTTAGTTCCGACCCTAACGATCTAAGCGTTCTAACTCCTAGTCATTTTCTAAATCTTCAATCTCTTAACACATTTATTGAATCAGATTTAACCGAAGTTAAATTGGGAAGACTCTCGCGTTGGCAGTTATTACAGCGCATGCATCAGGATTTTTGGAAAAGGTGGCATCGTGAGTATCTTCACACCCTTAACCAAAAATCCAAGTGGTATGATCCCTCCACTGATATTAAAATTGACACCCTGGTGTTAATTAAAGAAAATCTCTCTCCTCCATTGGCTTGGCATTTGGGGCGCGTAACAGAAGTCCATCCGGGTACGGACGGAGTGGTGAGAGTAGTCTCTATTAAAACGGCAAAGGGTATTCTCAAACGCCCAGTTTTAAAGGTTTGTCCTTTGCCAATATATTAGTTATTAATGTTTTCCAATATATTAATTTTAATTTTAAGCTTAGAATTCGCGTGGGTATCGGAATTGTTATTACGGTTTTTGTTAATTATTTTCTTTTTTTTTTTGGATTCATTAATAAAATGTTGCCATTTTAGGTGGGCGGTATGTTCCGTCCAGTCGGAATTGTTTTGTTTTATTTTTCCTCTTTAATTTTTGTAATTGGGGAATTTTTATATCGAGCAAATTGAAATTGGTTTTCTTTTAATTAATTGCCGCGGTTATATTCTCCGCGTATTTTGGTGACAATCTCACTGGGTATATGGCCAGAAAAACTCGTATGTCGCTTGGGTGTCGTACTCCGCTGTGATCGGGACTAGTACGACTCAGGTAGAGACCAACGTGAGAGCATTTTCCGCGTGCCAGAATTAATATCTCGAGTGCCGTCAAGTATTGCGAAATTGTGCCGGTCAACAGCCAGAGCTACATCAAGGTAGGCCAAGAAGAAAAGAGATTGTCATTTTTCGTCTCGTTACATCGATATATTATTTTTTGAATTGCCCCGTTATTTCAAGCTTCAATTAAACAAACAATTACAGTCCATTGCTCTTTCTCGTCCAATAACAGTCTATAAAATTACTAATCATAATATTCAGGTTTTCTGAAAAGCCGAAAGAATTCATTTATTGCCAGTTGTTCGGGTTCTTGGATCAAAATTAGATGCAGATACAGTGAAATGTAACAATAGAACAAAAAACTTAAAATTCTACTTTTTAAAGTTGATGATGATACCATCATCATAAGTGTCATGTCTTACATTCTTTTAATATCAAGAAGAAGATGCTTCTGACTCACTCACACTAATATTAAATTTTATTTTTGTACCACCTAGTTTACCCAAGAACTTAGTTTCTCGATCCCACCAAGAATTTGACTTCTAAACTGTTTCCTAAGTTTTACCTATTGCAACAATACCACAACAAAGTTAGAACAGATTATATAGTTCGGAATAACTAAACAAAAGTGAAAAAGTGTTTTCCATATGTTAGTTGCGTCGGTTGTTGATGAACTGAACTTGCTGATATTTCACCAAACGTCCTGTTGGCTTCTTCAAAGCTGAACTGATTGGGACAGAATTAAAAGCGGGGCACCGAAATTGCCTCGAATGACTGATTCCAATATTGGTTACCGTTGACCAGATTTGTAGATTGTATTACTGTAGCCCGTGGAACATTCTTCGCAAAATTCTAAAAACTTTTAGGGTGAAAATGAAAATGTTATTTGATCGAATGGTCATCAAATTCAAACCGCTTGTATGGGGACCGGGCCATGTGTAAGTAAAGGAAATATTTTTTAAACATTTATACTATATTTGAAGTTTTTTCGTTTACTATGCTTGAGGACCTCGCGATTTAGCATTTTGGTTATAGTATAGAGCTTTTTAACATGAACTGAGAGAACTGGACTCATTTTTGAGTCACGTTGCCGCCGCAGGAAAGATTTGTAAACGACGATCCTACACGAAGAGTTTTCCTCGCATAATATTCTCGTAAATTGTTCTCCTCTTACAGTTTTAGTAGATATATCGCTACTATGGAAAACATCCGCCGCAATACATTCGGTGCCTTATTGAGGGGCTAAACGATGCCGCTGAGTTAAGCCTTCTGATCCCTTTTCAAAAAATATATCGCGCCATAACACTTTAAGATTCGTATCGCAACACCGCCAAGCCTCATATCCAGTGATTTATTTTACGAAACCATTAGTAAACACACCCTACCCGTAAATAACTTTTCGCACTTTATTTTCAGGCGAATTCTTGGCATCGAACCGCCGATACAAGGAGGCGGCGGGAATGTACGAAAAGGCCGCCGAATTGCAGCCAGACGACTACGAACTATCCGTAGCGGCCGCCACTGCCATGCGACAGGCGGGTCGCCAAGAGGCTGCGGAAAGGTGGTACCGAAATGCCGTGTCCTTGAAACCAGCAGTAAGTATTATTTACTGTGACATTACAGTAAAATTTGGTAATATGTGCAGGGTTAACCAAATTGGACTCTTTAAAAGAGAAAGTCCCCTTTTTCGACGAAAACTAATGTCAGTGTGTGCTGCTCAATTATCATAACCGTAAAATGGTAAAAACTGCAAGTGGATATCTATTACCGTTATAGGTCGTTTTTTGAAAATGCATTTTTTTAAAATGACTGTTACTTTTTTGCAAAACAACAAGAATTGGTTCACTGACATGATCGTCAGAATTGAATTGAATCGACACTGACGTGTTAAAATGACACTATCCGCATTCTAGATCGGTGTAAATAATTGAGCATTTTAGAGAAGGGAGAAACTTTTTTTTATGCAATGTAGGAGTCAATCCGAATAGTATGCGTTATTGGTCAATGATCCTCACTGAATTCGTGAAGTGAATTATCAAAATCGCGTTGGAGCGTGTACTTCTGATGTGGTATTTTGGGTAATGAAATTATGGGACAGTTATTGGCGACATTTATTTGAACCTTTTAAGAAACCACTTGCCGATTTTATTAGAAAATGTTCCTTTACAAACGAGAAGTGAGATATGTGGATATTCAGCACATTTTTCTCATGAACTTAGGAATGTTTTAGAACAGACTTTGCCAAATTGTTGGATAGGAAGGGGCAGTTTGCTTTCGTAGCCTGCCAGATTTCCAGACCTTAATGTCCTGCAGTTTTATCTTTGGGGTAGAATTTAGGATATTGTTTATCAAACTCTTCCTACTGCCCCTAAAAATATGGTTAATCATATCCGAACTTCTGTAACCAACCTTTGAATAGTTGAAATTAGTAGGTTTTAAATACACGACGCATGATACATTTCTGCATTGAAAATGACGGGAGGCACTTGAAATCTTTGAACTTTGATTTTAATTTCTGAAAAAAACTTCCACAGGCTACTACTACTATTTAAATATCTTCTGGATTCCTTTTACGTGTTTTGTTTTTCAATCAAGTAAAGATCTGAGTTGTGGTTAAGATTGTTTGGTTGCTTGTGATGTCTATATTTCTATAGTAATAGAATTGTTTACAGATGACCTACACACACAGATCGATAACTTAATGCATCGGTTTGGATAGAGTTAATTATGTATAAGCGTCGCGTTAGGTTGGATAAAGATATTGCGATCTAATGACGTAAAAAAATTCATATCGTTGCATTTGTGCAATGTATTCATTTGCAATCATCTCACTCATAGCACGTTTAATACACTAGGAAAGGCCCTTTTAACGACTCTGGTTTATTAAAATCCATTAAGTCATTTTTGGATTAATGGATATTTGTTTCCGGAAATATTGGAATACTTCCAGCGACTTTCCTTTTGTAGATTGAGTAAAAAGCGTCTAACAAAAAGGACTTGAATTTGTCTCAGCTTTAAAACAGTGTTTACTTTAAGTATCATTAATATGGGAAAAACACCGGGTTTTTAAATTCAATTATGCCGTCTGGTGGCCATTTCAGATCCTTAAAATTTCAAATTCAACATTTTCTGTTGAACGATTTCCTTAATAATTTAGTTTTTTTAATTTTTGTGAACATCCGTTTCCCCAATACTTGTTGCCTTTATTGAGACACACGGTACTACTACTAGTAGGTATAGCATTAATTAAAATAAATCCAATATTTCCAATGAACCACGTATAATCTTTTAACAGTAAACTAGGCATTTAGAAAAAGGTTAACTAACATAATATAAAATAACAACAATGAGAATTAATAAAAAGGACAAGACATTTTGCTACAAGAGATGTTCAAAATGTCGACCGATTGCATTTATGCATTGACTCAAGTGGACAATTCGTTCTTCAGTTCTGACCCCGGTCACCTCTGCAATTATTATCGAAGTTTTCTGCTAAAAAACTGCTGATATCAGCGTTGTTTCCATTATTTCGCTTCCATTAGAGACACATAATCCATAAAGGCTTATTTGTTGTCTTCAGATTTCCAAATATTGCAATAAATCTACCTCTAAATACACCTGCCCAGATATTAAATCTAAGTTTTCCTTCCTTGTGCCCAAGTATACGAAAAAACTCGCTCTGTTAATATAAGCTTCGCATTCCCCACAGGAAAGAGAGCGTATAAGTCAGGCAAAAGATGAGTGGCAGGCTTAATGCTGAGTACATTAGACAACACGGCACCATAGCAAATCTTAGGCCTGTCGTCTTTCGTTCCCGTCGAATAGATCCAGTTTTACCACTTTTATGTGTGACATCTTCGGGCTTATTTTACTTTTACTAACCAAAACTAAGCTGAAAACTTTTTAACGAAAATCCCTCTTGCTCCAGATCGATACCAAATTTAGTACTAAAATGAACAGGAATTCGGTTAATTGTGCTTGCAGAACACAACCGCTCAACAAATATTTTTTCACTACGACTCTAGGTATTATACACGCAAAAGGTGTAACGGAACCAGGCAAAATTGATGTAATATTTTATAGTAGCTTACAAAAAAGGTATTTTATAACATTATTGAACCCTTTATACGTTTGTAGGTTAATAAATATATGTATATTTAAGTTATTTTAAGGAAGGGACAATACACTCATGAACACTTGGAGGACCATATACAAGACAGGAATTTTAAGAGTTACAATAATGTCTAAGAGAGAAATGAGACCTCAAGATATGTGCAATAAACTTGAGACAAGGTAAAGAGATTATTAGTATCAAAAATATTTGTAGAAATGTGTAGTACATTACGCTGTACGACTAAAACTATAAAACTATTAATAAATTTCAATTGTTAATGGAATTTTCGAAATGCCGAAGGTGCCTTACTAGTTTCCTTCAACTCAGTATGTACCTCTATGCAAAGGTGGATGCAATTGATTATAGCAGTAGAACTAGAAGATTTGACTAAAGTTCTGGGAGCAAATGAGCGACCCAGACATTAGCTTTTTTTAGACATTGTGGCACAAAAGCTTGGCATCAGCCATTTTTCTCTCAAGCCCCTGCATGAAAGGAAACAAATTTGAGAGACAGGGATAATAAATCATTTTACATTTACTGATGATATTAGTCAAATTGTTGGACCTACCCTTCATCAAATATGGACATTTGAATGTTTCAAAGGTTAGCAAGTATTTTATATGTTTCGGTAAGTAACCTCTACCTTTGTATAGGTTAATAGAAACCACTAATAAATGTTAAATGACAATATGTATTTCAAAATGGCATTAGGTATTTGACCTTTCTAGGGACTTCAGTTAAGTTTAAAGCACTAAGTAAATCTTTTAAAAAATTACTGATAACTCTTAGTAAGGTGTGTAAAGGTAGATATTGGCTTTGTCATAAAAATACAAAATGTTATTGTTATGGGCTTCTACTTGGACAAGGAAATGTGGATGGAAGAAAATTATGACGAAAATACTATGTGTTAGGAATAATTATTAAAATCCTTGAGTTTGCAATTATTTCATTTCAACTATAGGAACAGTCTTACTCCAGAAAAGATGTGCAACCAAAGATTGGGTGGACCATCAGGGGCTGGACATTTCAGGGCCGCCCTGGGACCGTGAGTCCAGAAGCCAGGGCTACGATGCTGCAGATTTTAAAGTATTTTTGTGTCACTATAAGTACATTTTTATGTGATTTTCTCTCCTTATCACCTTATTTGTAAAATAAGGCAGGGGCCCATAAATGTTTGTTACCTCAAGGTTCACTCACAACTGTATGGGCCAAGTTGCACTGTCAGCTCATAATCGGTTTTATTCCCATCATCTATTTTGCTAAAAAACGAATTTTCACTAATCTATAACTTGTCAGTTCTATGACGAAGTTTAAGAAATGTTAAATGACTTTGCTTTTAATCATTAATCAAAGTTTCTGACGTTTGGCCAATCATGGGATATAGAAGGAATCCATAAGATTTGTAAACAGTTTTACAGTCACCTGTGAAAGTTTCTTTGACAAATTCTATACAGAGTGATCCATAGCGTAAGTAAGTAATTTTAGATACCAGATTGAAAAAAAGCCAAAAATACTTTAGTAATATGCTTGTTTAAAAAATGAAGTTGTCAACATTGTTCCTTATAAAATTTAGATAAATTTGATTTGGTAGACGTCAACTTTTACCCTATCTGGTGGCTTTAATAAATAAGGGGCGATAACGACGAAAATACATTCAAAAAGATACTCTCGGGTCAGTAAAAAATATTCTTTTGAATGAGGATTGCAGTGCCCTTCAATAAACTTAACCCATATTTTCTTGGAAACAACAATTGATTGTGTGCATGGGAATTCATGTGTAATGTGCGTATTTAGCATCCTATGTACGTCCAGTATCTATAAAACAAGCAACATTTTGCTATTTCGTATTCGGATTATAACGTTTGCTAAATGCAGATCCCGCGCGAAACGAGACTCACCGAGATTTTCCGAAACGGCACCGAACGCCGTTCGGGATTTTCGACACTGAATATTCGACACTTTGTGGTATTCCCATAAAATTATTTTAAACTAAATTGCAATGTTCTCAATGAGCTATAAAGTGTTTTGGAAAGTAGGAATGACAATTTCGCACCACCCAAGAAACGCCCCACCCTACAAAATAAACTTCATTAATTGAAATCTAAGGGTGCCTGGATAGATGTCCCGATGAAAAGTAAAACGGGCCAAGCACTAAGTGCCGGATCAATTTTCCTTTTAATTTTCGCTCCGAATTCGAGATAATTAATTTCATTTTAGATAAGTTCCCGACGAGATTGAAATTATTTTCTGAATGTTTGCTTCGCCATTTTTAAAATGGCGGTGTGTTGGTTAACACTTTTTCTAGTGGTATTTCATAGGAAATTTTATTAAGTTGTCGTGGGCATAATTATTCTGATCCAAAGTAATAAGCTTGTGTGGACATATTTCCTTAATTGTTAAGCTCAATTAAAGTTGTTATTGATATTTATACTTTTTATAATAATCTTTGTTAGTTTGTTGTTGTTTGATATGTTTTCGGTTTTATTTACCTCAAAGAAATTCAGAAATTCTGGAAGTAGCCGCTGGCATAACACGATTTGTTGCGTCTTCATTTTCCACTTCGTGGTTGTATAAAAGAACTAGTGTACCATAGGCCCATACAAACTAGAGAGAAATTATTGAATTGTATTGACGATACCTTTACTAATTTAAATCCAGTTCATTGCGCGAAAAATACTAGAGCTTATTCAATATTTCAAAGTATAATTCAGAATTGACGGCTCCATGAATGAAAATCCAAGGGCATCAGATCAGGTGATCTAAAGAGTTAGTTCCAGATTCTCTTAACGCATTTGACGTCAATAATTAACCAACAACATGGACACACAATAGCGACTTTTTAAAAAGAATCCACAAACAAACCAGAACATAGAGCTTACACAACCTGCTTTATATCATCTATTGATAATGCTAACTTGTTTAGAACGTTGTAAGTCGTGGTGTAGTTGTGGCTATACTAAGGGGTGTTTTTTTTCGATGTATAGAACTTAAGTTGCAATAAAACAACGATGGATTATTCGATTGACATGAATTTTAGTTATCCGAAAGATAATCTTGTGGCATTACATTTTAAATATGATTTCTGGTATATGACCCCCACGGCTGGCACGGATGTAGTCCAATCTGAACGTCCAATTTTCAATGACTTTTTCCAACATTTGTGGCCGTATATCGGCAATAACACGTCGAATGTTGTCTTCCAAATGGTCAAGCGTTTGTGGCTTATCCGCATAGACCATTGACTTTACATAGCCCCACAGAAAGTAGTCTGGCGGTGTTAAATCACAAGAGCTTGGGGGCCATTTCACGTGTCTTTCAATAAATTGATTGTGGCACGAGCTGTGTGACTTGTTGCGCCGTCTTGTTGAAACCACATCTCCTGGACATCATGGTTATTGAATTCAGGAATGAAAGAGCTGGTAATCATAGCTCTATACCGATCACCATTGACTGTAACGTTCTGGCCATCATCGTTTTTGTAGAAGTACGGACCAATGACTCCAGCAGCCCATAAAGCGTACCAAACAGTCAGTTTTTCTAGATGTAACGGTGTTTCGACATACACTTGAGGATTAGCTTCGCTCCAATTGCGGCAGCTTTGTTTGTCGACGTAGCCATTCAACCAGAAGTGCGCTTCATCGCTAAACAAAATTCGCTTACGAAAATCGGGAACAATGGTAATCTCGTTTTGGGCCCATCCGACGAATCTACGCCTTGATGATCGTTTGGCTTCAATTCTTGCACGAGTTGGATTTTGTAAGCACGTAAACCAAGATCCTTCCGCAAAATCTTCCATAAAGTGGATGGACACAGATCCAATTCCTGCGCTCGATGGCGGATGGACTCATTAGGGTCTTCCTCAATGCTACGCTCTACAGCAGCAATAGCTTCTTCTGTACGCACCGTACGGCGTCTCTGGGGATGCGAGTTATCAATAAGAGTAAAAGTGGTGCGAAAACGTTCCATGGTTAATCGAATTAACTGCTCTGATGGACGATTTTGTCGACGATAAAATGGATGTAGTGCGCGATACGAATTCCGCACAGAACCATTATTTTCGAAATAAAATTGCACTATTTGCAAGCGTTGTTCAGGCGTGAGTCTATTCATGATAAATTGCCAAACTAAACTGAGAATAAATCACATAGCTCTATACCAATTACCATTGACTGTAACGTTCTGGCCATCATCGTTTTTGAAGAAGTACGGACCAATGCTTCCACCCATAAAGCGCACCAAACAGTCAGTTTTTCTGGATGTAAGGGTGTTTCGATATACACTTGAGGATTAGCTTCGCTTCAAATGCGGCAGTTTTGTTTGTTGACGTAGCCATTCAACCAGAAGTGCGCTTCATCGCTAAACAAAATTCGCTTATGAAAATCGGGAACAACGGCAATCTCGTTTTGGGCCCATTTGCAAGCGTTGTTCAGGCGTGAGTCTATTCATGATGAATTGCCAAACCAAACTGAGGATAAATCACTTGACAGCTGTTAAATCGGTCACCATCTTGAACAGTAATGCCAACTTAAAGTTCTATACATCGAAAAAAAACACCCATTATAAACGATAAGCACAAGGTGCCGCACGTACTACACTTGTTCACACACACAGTTCACTTGACTTAATTTGATTACTCTAATTAGCTAGGATAGGTGCTTCGTACTCCTTATCGACAGCCATACCTGAAGTAGAATATTATTTTAAAATATCAACTCTGGATTTACCTGACAAGGCGCTCGAAACTTTCTCGGAAATACTTTTCGCCCGGAGCTTAAAGTTACCTCAACACATTTCTCGAGACTCATTTCGTATTCATTAATTACGGCTAATCTGTTGACTTTCATTAATCTTACTTTCCTTTAGCCTCTTCCTACACAAAACTCCGGCTTTCGGCGAAAAATTGCCTTTAACTGGAACGTCTAGTATTAAGATTTAAGCGTGGCGAGGTGGTGGTTGAGAATTTGTCGCCATTTCGCAAGAAAAACCTTGCCTCTTAATCAAACGAAAGAATTAGGGAGATTTAAACGGCAGTTAAGTTTTCCGAATGACTAATGCTGGGAGTCTGCGGCAATTGCTTCTAATTTACGCAGGTGTGGAAGCTTTGGATGTAATTAACTTTTATAAAATTGCCGTGATCACAATCGGTGAAAAAAATAGATCCCAACACGCAGTGATTTTCAGTCATGACCCTTTTTAGAATTATTTAAAAAAAAATGCAGAGACTGGTATTTCGTAACTGTATTGATGGGTAATATAATAAATGAACTTGCTTCTACATAATAAGAATTGTTGGTTGAGTACTTATCAATCCAGTTAATATGTTGCTTTTGTTTTAATTACCAAAGTAGTTTAAATGCAATTTTTACAATAACAAATACAACTCTACAAAAAGACGGGCACAGTTCACCAATATATTCATGGATTTACTGAATGTCCGGTAGTTTTGGTTAGTATCTTATATTTTTAACATTGAACGGCTCGTCACTAGTAAAATTTATTTTGAAAATTGTGAGAAGGTCCATTCAACATGCGCATGGGCGAGATTTAGAACTTCTTTTAACCCATGATCTTGGGGCATTCGACGACCACCATAGCCGCTGACAGAGCTCAATAAATTTGGATGCATCATTTTTACTGCAGTATCTTCTCCAAATGTGTCAGATCTGGTTAAATGTTTTGAAAAAACGAATTAAGTGTGTGAAAATCCTTGCTCGGAAAATCATTACCTTCTCTACAACTTTTCAATGATAACTGGAAAAGAAGATTACAAAACTTAATATTAAGATTGAGATCATTGGCCGATTAGTGTAGATTTGGAAATGGTCAATTTTCTACTTGGTCAGCAAAGTGGATACATTTAGTATCCTTGTTTCATTTGTCTGTGGGATTGTAAGTTCATGGTATCAAGATGTGCCTTTGAGAAAGTTCATAACTGTTGGCAAAGCCGTATAGTATCTAGACTTGTTAGATAGCTTTGCAACGCCTATTTTTAGCCACTATTTCAAGCATTTTTATTTGATAATTTAATAATATGTAATGTTGATGGTTGCAAGAATAAAATACTTGTTTGTTGTTGTTGTATTTTATTAATTAAATTATGTCTTCCGGAAAGCTAAGCTTGGAAGGCTTGGAAGTACAAAACTTCGTAGCTTCATAGATTTGAGATGCAAACATCAGTATCAAGCACTATTTTCATAACTTCTAGACTTCTCTTCTGTCGATAAAATATCTGCCAATTTGTTCATTCGGAAGCATTTATTGTTTCTCTTAAGTAAGTTGTGTTGTAGACAAAAGACTCGAATAACGGATTTCATAAGAAATTTCGATATATCTAATGAAAAATAGGCGTCATATTTTCAATGATGAAGAGCAACTTAATATTTTGTTGAGAGCGACTCCTGAAGAGTCAACCGAAAATACGTCTTTAGATCCAGACGTCAAAAGACCAACGCTTTGAACGTACCTTTAAACAAAACTGGAAGACCTCTAAATTCTGTCCAGTTCAGAAATTAGAGCAACGGAATTCAGCAACAATCTTGTGTAAAGACACGTTTCAAAAAATTTATTTGTACATACAACATTTAAATAATTGAAGATTTTGTAATAAACTTTTATCTCAATCTCCTATGGTTTCTGAGATAACGTAGTGTCCAAGACAAACGGCAAAAAAAAATAGAACAACAGAAAAAGAGAATTTAATAAGCGTTTCTTTTCCAGGACGCGAGAAGCCACACCAATCTGGGAGCCATCCTGCATCTCAACGGAAAATACCGAGAAGCAGCCGAGAGTTATCGGGAAGCGCTCCGATTGCAGCCCAACGACGTCACAACTTTAACCAATCTTCATAAACTTTACGGACTAATGACTTGACGCTAAACTTGCGCCGTTTCCATTAAAAAAGTTTCCCTTGGAATTAATTTCAAGCCGAGAATTACACCACCGAGGTTGCGTTTAAAAGTATAGAGGAAGGAATTCTGCGAGAAGCTTTTTAGATTTTGCCGATCGGATACGAAGGTTTCCGACACGTTCGAGTACAGGTCCGTTTCTACAGGGTGATTTTGTTTGGGTGGCCGATTTTGTTCACTTCCCGCGGCATAAATTCTTTATTATATTTGATTCGAAAATATGTTACTATACTTGGAATAAGCTTACACAAACTTATTAGTTACCCAAAATTGAAGATAATATATTATGATTAAATTGTATGTGAATAGATAGTAACGTGAATTCTTTTTCAAAAGCAACCAAACACTTTTTTAACGCATGTGAGGAAGAATTAGGTGAACTCATATTACCAATTATTTCTTTTTTTACCAACTAGATGCTTCAATATTTGTCTGATTTCAGAAATAAACCGATATATTGCACTTTTCTCATAAAATCAAATATATAAAAGGTGCTACCAAAAATTTGCACTGACAATAAATTAATGAAGTAGTTGATGAATTTCTTCATATCTCATATCATATATTAAATTTTTACGACAGTAATATGGGAACACACAAATGATTAAACGTTCATCTAATTAATCAAAGCGATCTTGAAAAAAATTATAACGGGCATTACTTCAAATGCAGTTGGGGAAGACGAAATGTCAATTCGGGATATAAAAATCTGCTTGCCTTTTTGTTCTAGTGCATTTTAGACGAAAAATGCCCATCTATCTGGAAAAAAGCAATAATTAAACGTGTTGTAAAGGTGGCAGACCCTAAAGAACTGACAGATTTGCGGCCTGTAAGTATACTCCCAGCAGTTCCTAAAATATTGGAAAAACATATATGTAAGCAAATTACTGAGTTTTTATAAAACCATAATCTTATACCGAATTGCCAATCAGGATTTAGAGAACATTTTTGCACCACAACAGCAGGAAATGATGTCAGGTATCACTATACACTATTTCTCACTAGAAACAGGGAAATGGCACTTGCATAGCTACGCTTTAGTTGAGTAAAGCGTTTGACACTTTGAGTTTTAAAAGAAAGACATTCTAAATCTTAAATTATTATCATCAATAAAAACAAGGAAACTCTAGATATTTTCTCTGGAACATATTAGTTCTTTCATTGTTTGATTATGCAGATATGGCATGTGGAACTTTTCTTGGCAAACTAAAAGGTCAATACAAAAATTACAAAACTCTTGTATGCGTTTTCACACGACAAAATCTAATTTTAGATTAATTAATTTAAATATTCAGTAGCTATATTTTATTTATCTTTAGTGTTATGTGCAACTTCAACGTCGATTTGAGTTTGTATCTCCTTTTTCCCCGATTGTTCCCCTCTCTTTAGGGCCAACTTCCGTTCAGTCATGTTTCAAGCAGTTGCAAATTGAGCTTTAACGACAATATACTCACCACAACATCCTTTTTTTTTCTAATTTATTTTCTTCTTCAATTAATAGCAATGCGATATATTGGCGCGCGTCTAGGTTCGATGATGCTGTAGGCTCTAGGGCTTTCTCGCTAAAATTTTTCTTTTAGAAAGGTGTTGGTGAACGGTTATTATAATCGACAGTAGGTCCTTTTTGTCAAAGTGCGCAATTTGTGGTGTAATTCATCAAATTACATTGTCTTTACATTGAGAACGAGTTTACTAATATTTTAGGTCTCAAAATGTCATTTAATAGTTCAATCTTTTTTACATCTTATGTTTGACTTTTTCTGTTGTTTTGGAACAATAGCAATAATCGTGTTTTGCTCTTATCATTGATGCTAATGATTTTATGCTAAAATCTTAACGTACCCTAATTCGTTAACAACAGGTTAAATGACCCTGAAAAAATTCGGCAGTTTGTGAAGAAAGTTTTGATAATGTACTGAACGGTGTAAAATCACGAATGGAGGAAATGTACTTATGGTAACGCTAACCTCTAGCCAGTCATAAAGGATACGAAGAACGAATTGCTACTAGTTAACAAACCTTTTTTTTTTATGACATTAATTATGATTGTTTTATAATATTTAGTAAAAAAATGCTTGGATTCACTCCATTATCTTATTTTTTTTTTATTTATTTCAACAGTTGGCATTACTTAATTGGCCCAGCGATTTGATGAAAATTAGAACAATTTTTGTCAGAAATTGTCAGTGTAAAACTAGTAAAAGGAATATTTGTCGCTAACATCATTCATCAATAATAAAACAGAGGTACACATAGGTACGTTTCAGCAGAGCCTAGAACTTTTGAATTTTTGAATCAGCAAATTAATGTTCAATGTTCATTTCTTTTAAATTCTTTTCATAAAGATCGTGATTTGCAAATTATAAAAATGTTGAAACATCAGAAAGACGCACATTTAGGAAAGGTTAGCTTATTGAGCTGTCCTATTTTTAAGCAAAAACACTGTTCTAGTTGTCAATTCGAGTAATCTCACTTTCGAATCCTAAATTAGTTCAGTAATTGCTAGGCTTTTCGTGTTTTAACAAACCTTATATCATTACAATCAACTGCAATTCTTTCTATAATATACATTAAACTATTATAATTTGAACCAGAAATTTTTTCAGTCCCCATAAAAACAGAAACGGTCTCAAATATTTTATGGTTGCGTTATATATTTATTTATATTCAAATGTTTCGCTGCGCTTGTTGCTTTGCTAATATACAGAGTAGATCAAATTCAATACTTGTAAAGGAAAACTTCCCTCTCCCAATAGAATAAGCGAAAAATGATTCCTGGAGCGCAATTTCTATGAAGAATATAATGGCGAAAACCACAAATTGTGCATTTAATTTTTTTTAAAACTTTTTTGTGTTTTTATTGTTTGTGTTTTCTAAAGCACTTTTTGGCGCAGAATTAAATGCATTATTTTTAAAACTAACAGTTTATTAGTGATAAACCGAAAAATATTATAGCATCTTGCTAGAATCTCTTAGAGAAAATAGTTCATAACTTTGAACGACTAGGCTCTGGATGTTACGACTGCAATACCGAAAACACATGCGTTCTCGTTTTATTTCGACTAACCAAGTCGCACTTTTCTCGTACTATGTGGCATGTGTTTTTTAAGTTTTTGATATCATTGTTGCTGTTCTTTCGGGTTGACTTGTAGAAAAAATTCTTTAAACCTCTACTCCTTTAACTCATATGGAGTTGATGTATATTATTTTGGCCGCGTGTTCCCGCAATATACCGCAAATTGTTTTTAAGAGATTTCTTTCAGCAGAATTGTGGTAGTACAAGGTTGCTGTCTCTGCATACTTTCCGGGTATTATAAAACAAACCATAAAATCCCATTCAATTGAACGACCAAAACTAACCAAAACTCGGCGTCCTAAAAACCAAATTCACAATTTAACTGCCCTTACGCATCTAATCCTGTCTTATGGTCGTGTCGTCCAAAGCGTGTTCAAAGTATTTTGAATAGAACTCGAGAAATATGGTCATTTCGTAAAGGTACTTTTAAGTTTTTTTCTTAAAATTAAAACATATACGGCATCCCATGTTTTCGGTTGACTAACTAATAAAACTGTTAATTTTAAAAATATTTTATTAAATACACTAAATTTTGAGCAAAAAACGGTCCCGCATATGTTTTCATAAAAACGCTAAATTCCCTATAGCAAAAAGGTTCTAGCAATTTTATAATGCACTCTGAAACGCCAACAGATGTACTTGTGCGGTTTTTACAATTATGTCATATGAAATTGAGCTCTCGTGGAAAGGGGGAGTTTCCCTTTAAATTTGGCACACCCTGTGCATTCCGAACCTCAAATAATACCCTGTACGAATTTCGGCCGGATTTTCGGACGGTGAAATTGGTTTCAAATTCGAATGACAGACTTTGCCGAGCCTATAACAAGGGACCACCGAAAGTGTAGGAATGATCGGCAAAAAATGACAGAATTATTATGACAATATTAAAGACGATCCCAAGTGATATTTATCTCATAAAATATTACATTCTTAAGTATTAAATGACACTACCCAAAATCAATTAAATTTTCTCGTTATAACGGCTGGGCATGAAAAAATGCTATTGAACTGAAAGGCCTAATATTTTCTTGCGCGTTAAACCCTACAAAGTCATAATCGTTAAGCTTTTGATGACGCATTAGATATCGAATTAATTTAAGTAGTTTCAAGCCTAAATAAAACTACGGTTAAATATACGAGTTTAACGCTGGAGCAATATAAATTTTAGCTTGGATCGGCTGTAAACACTTTTATAAACACCGGCGGACAGGATATTCACTGAATGTATTTATACTAAAAGCCTGCGAGTAAAATGGATTGATTTTGGGCCCGTGAAATAATAGATTATTATTATCAAATACGAACGTGATATTGTACATAGTATTTGTTTAATTGAAATGGATTGATATAAAAAATGTTACATATCCTTTGATCTGTGTAATATATTTTTTAATATTTCGTCTGTGTAAACGTGCTGGGTAGTTTTAAATGAATTTTAATATAATTAAATGCTTCTTCGTGTGATTGAGAACAATTTAATTAGAAACATGAACCTACAATTCATCGGCATCTTCCCCCATTCAATAAACATTTCTACATTCTTGCATATCCGTTGATATTCAATTCAAGGAATTGTACTTGCTAGATACATTTGTTTGAAGAAACCATCAATTTTATTATTTTAGTGGAAGCATTACCTAAAATACAGACAACCCACTCGGTGGAGGTGTTCCTTATACCTCAAGAAATATTTTTCCAAATCATACGGCATTCATTTCTTAGGAATTAAAATGGAGTGTCATTTTTTATAAGTGGGGTAGTTTAATTCAACCACATTATTTTATGGACGAACACTGTAAACCAGGAATCGTTTTCAACTAATTTGTTAACCCTGAATCGATTAGAATTCGTTTTAAGTCAATTGGAGTCAGACGCAACTGATAAAAGCACAAAGTTGAGCATGTTGGGCTACTAACCAACTAAAGAAGTAAATAATAAGTAATAGAAGTACTTATTATATTATACAACTGAACATGAAGACCACTTGCGATGGTGCCACTGAATTAGTTTGAGTTTTTCATAAACAATTAAACAAAATGTCATAAGCGAAATCAGTTAGAATTTAGCCATTATAGCCACTGGAAGGATTTTAATAGCAGAGCTTATAGCTCCAAGTAGAGAAAAGGAAAGTAGGTAGATTTTGTTCTCCGGCATCGCAAAATTACGAGTAATTCTCCCGATAAACAACCCCAAAAAAAATATGAACGTCAGATTTGGATCGCGAAGTATATCCCGGGTTTGCTCCTTCGGTTTCGTGGTGGCATTCTTCATTTGCATCTAAGAATCCAAAATACTCGAAAGTAACACTCATTACAATTGACTTAAAACCAATTATCTCTTCAGAACCCAGAAATTACTAGAAAATGATTCCCATTTTACAAATATCGTACATCAAGTAATGTAGCTTAATCGACCTACCAAACCCTAAGCGGCATGTCCCATAATGCTACATTTCTTGCTGATTTGTAATGTACTGCGGCGCACCTATTAATAGACACTTTAGGTCCACTTATATTATGAGAATGCTAGTGATGGCTCCCAATAATTTTCCCGTTGGCAGTCAAAACTTTTAACAAAATGCTGATTAGAAACAGTAACGACATTTCTCTTCATTTCCTAATCAGCTGCTCGCCATTAGAGGGTAGACAATTAAAAGTACTAGGAACTCAATTATTCATTCAATACGAAGAATTATCCAAGTTCTCCAGAAAAGAGGTATTATAGTTTCTTGAGAGTACAGCGAAGAAGAGACGCTTTGCGAGCATAATGGATGGCAATTGGTATGAGTAAAATAATGAGTGAAGGTAATTTTCCAGTGCTCTGCTCCATTTTCAGAATTATCTCTAACTTTTTATATGTTTTTTAAATATTGTCTTTGTACCAAAAGGGTAAAATTAAAATATGAAGACATATGTAGGGAGTTCCATAAGAAAATGCATACATACATACAATAATGTTATGTAATTCGCCTAACATATTTTTTTCTATCGACAAATATTTTCAGGATATACACCGGCAACGCACTATTGGGACACTCGAAAAAATACCTACCCCGAAAAAATATGTTCAGTTGCACTAGACAGTGTCTATGATAGCCGCAAATATATTTTTCTTAATTGAATACCTACCTCGAAAGCACCATTACTTTCCTTGTCAGTACATCATGATATTTGTTGGTGATATTTTCTTCAGAAAAACTGTAGGTGTGTATATTTAAAGAATTACCACTAACGATGTTTTTTTAGCATTCCCGTATTGTCCGACATTTTTACTATATTAGTAATGACGTTCATGTAACACTATCCTGCTCGTCCTTTGAAGCTTTCGTCAATAAAACATTTAAATAATAAACATGTCAGATATTTTCATCGTCGCCCGAAGCGAAATATATATGTCAATAGAATCGAAAGAAGTTCGCGCGGGCGTTTCGAAAAAAAAAATATTTGCTCCTCTAAATTTGTAAGCTTTTTAAAGAGAAATGTAATTTACCGAAAGAAATTGTTAGCTTTTTATGGAAACTAAGCTGTATTAACTAAAGTGTATTAACTTGAATTGTAAAATAAAGCTTGACTTATTTTGTGTAAAACCGAGTTTTTTATTTACTTATCTCCTTTATTCAAAGCGTAATCTTGAAAGCAGCCAGCGAGGAGGTAAGAACAGACAAAGGTGAAAAGGAAAGTACGATTCCACTTTAATACGAATCAAATGACACTCAGAAAGGAAATTTTTGCTTTGAGCATTAAAGTGTACTGTCAAAATGTCCTTTTTTTTAAATCTAGTATTGCTACCGTACCTAGCAACTATATATGGTCTACACATCAGGGAAAAACCAACAATCCTGTTGAATTTTGCATTGAATAATAGCAATATATTTGATTTTTGGGTGCTTGACGGCGTTTTTATTTTCGTGGACAAGTAACAACTTTGTTATTTTAAATCGAGGGTTCAAAAGAATTTCCCAAAATTTCCTAGGCACATAATTATACTAACATATTTTGTATTATATGTCAAAAGTGTCGATGTCTAAAATGTATCGATTTCTCAGGCTGAAGGAATTCGTCACATAATTGGTGCTTATTTTCTTATAGAAAGTTTAGTTAGTTTTCTTTATTGATATTTTACAAATAAATCAGAGAAGTTAAATGAAAGCATCATAAAAAGACATTGTTATTCAAATACCCAATTTTTATAAATTGTATAGTATTTTTCATTTAAAGAATTTTTTGTGTATAACGTCCATTTAAAAAGTTGTAGACCTTGAAATATTAGCAATAAAACGTGCTTAAATTGCTTTCTAGGACTCAAGAAATCGATAAAAAAGCACACTTCACTTTTGATATAAAATTTATAAAAAATACTTCTAGAATGTTTTAGAATTCGAAAATGCCTAATATACAGGTCAAATTATATCAATTGAAATATGTGGAGAATGTTTTAATATAATTTTGTCGAAATACCTAAAAGTTTGTTTATTAATAAAACAATTGATTTAAATATATTGTTTTTAATTAATACTCACAAAAATTAAAGGGTCCTATGTATTAACCAAAAATATTATTTTTTTTATTTTTAATATACGAATTAAAAATTCTTCTTCAAAATGTGATAGAAATTAAAACCGTAACGGTCGATCATAGCGAAAAAATACATAAATGCTTTCAAAAAGTAAACACTCTAGAAATGACAAACATTAAAGTGCACCCTAGAGTTGCCAATTTGGAAAGTGAAATAAAACTATGTATCACGAAATCTTATACAGTAGTGAAAGTGCGCATTAAGAGAGAATAAAATTAAATATTCTTTAATGTTTTTGAATGTTATGAAATGAATTAACAGTATGAAATATCATCTGAAAATAAAATGCGCCCCTTAAAAGTGGTATATAAAGACAGAAATGAAGATTCAAGTATTTCCTACGAATGACGAAAAGTAAAGGGAGATGAGACTGCGACCCGACAGCTAGAGCCTAAAGAAGTATATGCTAAACTGAAAACCCATCAGGAAACAGAAAAATGTTGTAGTATAATAACGTAAAAGAAATAAAATGCTATTAAATTTTAATTACTTCGTCTATGTGAAACCTGGCTGCAATACGACGCTGTTTTACCCAAAAATTAGAGGGAAACTACCAAATTATATCATGAACTGCAGATTATTTTTTTCAAACAGTTTCTTTGAATTCCAAAAAATGCACCAGACTACTTAGTGCATCTCGCTATTTTTAAATCTGATTTACCATGGCCGCACAAACTAATATCTGTGCCGACTAACAGGCTACCTAACCTGCGTTTTCTGCGGCAATAGTTGCGAAAAATATAACTGGATCTCACAATTCAAAAGATACTTTCAAAAGTGGAGTTCAGGAGAACCATCGTTAAACTAGTTGAAAAATTTAGGAACGTTATTCAGAGAGAAACTGATATCCTCTCAAGGTCAAAATGTCTATTATTTGCCCCCCCCCCCCTTCACCAAATTCTTCCAAAATATCTATTGTAAAAATCATCGTTCTAAATAACAAGAATAATAGCGCAGCTCAGAAAATCCACCAAAGAATATCTAAAACTAAAACCGCAACCAACCAACTAAACGAAGGTGTGATTATATAATTTAATCGTTAAAGCTCTAATTAATTTTGTTGGTTTCATATTTATGACATAATCTTGATTATATTTAACTTGTACTTAAATTTATCAGATTAAGCGTTTATCTTATTTGATCTGTACTTACATACTTAACATACAGATCAAATGTATTCCTTAAATACAATAAATAAATAATAACAATAATAATGTATGCCTGGCTAATTTTTCTTCCGGAAACTAATTACTGTTATTGAACTGAGGTTGCTTTTACTTGATGAAAATCCATTTATTAAAATAAATAAGAACTGACAGTTCAGATTTTCACGAAATGATATATTTGACATGACAATTGTTTCGACCACACCGTGTCTTTATCACATTTGATAAAGACACGGTGTTGTCGAAACAATTGTCATGTCAAATATATAATTTCGTGAAAATCTGAACTTTTAGTTCTTATTTATTTTTATTTACTGTTATGTCAATTAGTATCCATTATGCACATGAAAACACATTGTTACTATTTACACAACTTCTGGATTCCTCCTGCCTCTGTTGTTGATGAATCGAATTTGTTGACATTTCGCAAATCATCATGTCGGCTTCTTCAGGGCTTAACGAAAATTGACGCAGGATGAATAATAAAAAGATTTGTAAATAATTTTAGCCTGTTAATGTTTCTTCGAAAAAAACAAACCATTATATGAATATAATTTAGTTATTTAAATTAACGCTGGGAAGAAGTAAATTTTGGGTGAAAGTTAAAGCAGGAGTGGTTATTTTAAAAAAGCTCAATTGCCAAACGATTTTCTAACCAATTTTGTCAACTTTGCGATTTGTCTCGTCCTTTGCAACCCTCCGTATTACGATCCTAACCCTTGTTTATTTGGAGCTATCGAGGCTTGCGATGACAGAAAATAAAAGTCAAACGTTTGAATTATACAACACACTCTGTATACAGAATAATGCCGGCATTACCGACTCCATAAAGCTGCTCTAAAGTCCTTCTCAACTCTCCTAGCTCCATCGATAATACTTTATGCAGGATATATTGAACTCCCAAGGCGCTGTAAAAACCTATCTCTTTCTACACGACAAAAGTGAACCCCATCAATATGTGACGGTCCCTTTTGGGTTGCTGAATCCTAAAATATTACGGAATTTTCGGCACAATATTAAAGCATTGGAAAAGGGGAATCATGTGGATGGATTTTATGAAATTTTATGTGACGGTATTAATTTGCTTTTCATCTAACCTTCCGAAACGTGTTTCCAACTAGATGGCCTATTACAAGTATATGAGGAATGGAAAAATGAGCATTTAAAAATTGAGTTGCAACAATAATATCTGATCTCCGTTCTTAAAATCTGTGGGACATTGCAGCGTTGCCGCTATTCGAATCAGACTTCAATTTATTTAATTTTTTAATGAAATGCTCTGTATGCAAAGTTTTAAACTGTATCCAAAATTCTGAATGTTTCTATGTAACATAGGTTGGAAATTAAAATAAATTTTTTGAATTTTTTTCAAAAAACAGCAATCATGACGGCTTGCCAATGACATTAAATTTCAATACACACAGGGTGTCAGGTTGTTTATGTGCATTTTGTAAAATATTGAACTCACGTAGTAAGATTATTCCGGCACTAAATTCTATGCGAAAATTTATGTAGGGAACACTTTTCTCCTTTAGTTGAAAGACAATTGAAATACATCATTTTCAGATTCACCCTGTACCTTAAAAATGAAGCGAGGTAGGAAAATAGCATCGTTCCATATCTGCTAATAACGGAGATTCCTTGCATTTTCAATCAAAATTGGACACACTTTATAGGTTGTCACAAATTTGAGGGGGATTATTCGTGGTTTTGAAAACCGTAATAAAAAATAAAATAATTAATAAATAATTAAAAACCCAGCTCCGTACTTAAAAAAATGAAGTTGATGTCCAATTTGTAGGGGAGAAAAAGTTGGAATGGAAAAACATCATTTGTTTTCATTTTTTTTTTAAATTAAGGCTAGGAAGAAAAAAATGCAGATTTTCGTTTTCGGTATCAAAATACGCATCGTTGCCTCTATTTAACGGACTTCGTATATCTTACTGTTTCCGATATCCCCCTTGGCATTTGGGACAGCCTGTACATTCATTGTTTATTACGGCAACTAAAAACACGAATGCATTGTTTGAATTTCATCCAGTACTAAACCAAAGTTATTTCTGTCTCCCGTTATCCAATTATCGATAATAGTGCCATGAAGCAAAGGAATAATAAAAAATATACGTTAAAAAAATAACCAATGTTGTTCAACAACAACTTGAAACTGTGTAATTTATTTGTTGATTTTTTAATGTCGGATTATTATTGCGTTTCTTATGCAACGCCCTTTATATTGGACTACAAAAATTCCCATGCACAGTTCAGTATAGTGTGTCTAAAGATATGTCGTCTTGGCTTTTTACGGACCCTGCAAAAGTAATTATGGACATTCACAGCTATTGTTACCTGGAAAACCCAACGTGCCAGTGGCAGTGTTTAATAACCCATTTTACCGTGCATGTTGAAAAAGCTCCTTCATATCACTAATTTTTCTGTTATCCTGCATCACAATCACTTGCCATTAGATGGAAAACAAATTGTGAAAAATTTGATTGAATGTTTATTAACTTAAACTATCCTGAAGATATAAGTGTAGAAGTTTCTGAAAACTTGTTTAAAAATTATGTATTCAGAATATTGTATACATTTGAGGCAAGGCACACTCCAACTTTTAAAAGCGAAGGAGAAAGGTATCATTGTACCAGTATCTACCAGGATCAACTTGATTTGCTGCTCTAGACTGTTTTTTCTTTGCAGGTGATGAAGTTATGAGGCCAAATATTGCGTTTTAAAGCGAGATTATATTCTATTCGATCTAATAGGTCTTTAGTGGCGTTGTAAACATAAATCCATACATTAAAATTATTGTTAACCATTTAAATACGAGTTTTGC